CAAGACAAGAATCAAACCTATTTACCTGTTGGCTAGGGCTGGGCTAGAGAAGACCAGGGAGGTCTGTAGGGCATGGCAGGCGGTGGGGGGAGGTGGACCCTGCTTGGCTAGGGTGGGCCTGAGGGAAGGACAGCAGCTGGATAATGGGACAGCAGCGTCAGAAGGGCAAGGCCCAAGAGGCATTTCGAGAACTTTCCTCTCTTACTTCCTTCCCATTCCTGGCCACTGGCCCCGATGAACATGAAGCTGAGTGACCTCTCTTCATGACTCTGGGGGGAGGTTTGGCCAAGCACCTGGTGTGTGAAATGGATCACTCAAAGCAAAAACCCTCGCTGCTAAAACAGCTGGTCTTTCCTGGGATTTCACCCTGAAAGTTTCACTTTATGTTTTGAAACCACCCCACATTCAAATCTTATTTCCCTGGAAGGAGCCAAGCATTGACCTTCCCCAGTTTCTATGGCTCCATTTTGATCAGTTAGAAACAACAGTGCTGAATAAAAATGGATTTTTAAATTAAAATCCTTAGCCGTTGATTCCACAATTTATCAGAATCATTTAGGTGAATGGAAAGCAGAAAATATACATTTTAAAATTTATCAATGAGCTTAAAATAGTCCTAAAAGTTTAGATACAATGACCAAGAAAAAAGTTGCTTATTTATGTAAATGCCATACTTACTATTCTAATAACAAATTGAAAACCACAAGGTCATCATTTCCTCTAAGTCAAAACAAGACTAACTAAATCTCTTAACTCAGATAAATCTCCTAAATTTAATGCTCTATGTAGGAAGTTTTACATAATTTTTATGAAATATTTATTAATTCTAACCATCTTTATTATAGTATCTGCTCTTAAAAACAACATTAAAAACCTTTTATATCATGATTTTCCCTGGTTATAAAAACTTATTGGGAAAAATGTTTTGGTCATTAAGTACTGCACCAGAGGGCTTAATTCAATTCTTAACTGCAAAGATTTGACACTAGTTATGAGTGAATATCCAACTTATCTAATGAACAGCAGCAAGATTTTTCGTACAATAGAGAGGGCAGTGTGAATGTGATTATAGAATTCTCGATATGGTTTTTACTTTAAAACTACCTAAGCAGCATCCTTCAGGGTAGTTGGTGTGCAATCGCGTTTGATTGGATAAGAAATTTCATCTTAAAGACACAGTAAATCAGGCATAAAGAACTTTAAATGTATAAAATAACTGTCAAGTGACATGATGTTACACATGTGGCATACAACAATTATAGAAATACATTTCATGAAAAACTTAAAAGACGTTCTGACTCGGAAACTTACAAAGAAATTTTGAGATCATAGAAATACGTGGCAAGAAGGCGGGAGTAATTTTCTCCCTCTTTAATTGCAATAGTTCTCTAGAAAACAATCCCCTTTGAATTTGGGGAGATAACACTGTTTTTCATGCCTTTGCATTTCACTTTCTATGTGCATAAGATAATAGAATAGACTTAAATTAACAATATTTTCTGTTTACATATATTGTCTCTAAAAAAACCTATAATTTTGCTTCATGCCATTTGAAAGCTAATTGCACATAACTTAATAGAATTTACTCTTTTTTGACTTTTAACTTGTAGGAAGTAGAAAAATCTTCTGTTGTAAAATTAATTGGAATTGAAAAGTTTTCTAAATTATAATGACTTCCCAGATTGGTTTTGAAATGCATTTGATTATTATTATTTATATCAAATGTAAAACATCTATTATTATACTAGTATTAAAATAGTAATAGCCCTCTTCACAATTTGTGTCCAAAAGTATCTATGAGGTTTGTCATTCTGATATTGTCATTCAGGTTTATGTATATTCAGATTACATTTTATAAGCATATTTTCCTTTATCTTCATTAAAACAATGTACACTGGGAGTGAAGCTCAATATCATTGTGCCTGACAGTTTTGCAATTAACTTATCAATGATTTATAACAGTTATTTCATACCTAAGAAATGTTCCAAGGCTTGGAGAATTTAGAAGACATTTTCCTCAGAAACTGAGAATCACCTTTTTGCCAAGAATGAATGAATTTGAATATCAACATTATCATAAGTTTGTAGAAATTCAGAAATAATAAACTTCAAATGGATTCTATATTAGGTAAAATTATTAGCACATTCTTCTTGATAACAAAATTTCAGTAAAATTAATGACATTTTACATTCAATCTGTGAAATATAGCAAAACAAGAGAGAGATATATTCTATGTGTAGCATCAAACAGTCACAACACACTGCTTTCAGAAGAAGTCTTCTAATTTGTGTTATTAGCACATAAGTAGTTGACCCTTTGTTCCATAAGACTGGCAGGTTTGGGGAACACCTGTTTCTTTCCCATTTGCCCTATGATGGTCAGTACTAAATCCAGACCTCTTAGGAGGATTCCTGTATCAACAAGTTGACAGCAGTGTGCCTGGGCTGTTATGCCATTCCCATAGTTTCTTGTAAGGACTGGTGTGTGTTTGCTTTTTCCTTCCCAGAAATGCTCATTCTTGGCAACTGTCTGCTTCTACAAACTTAGGTTTTTGTAAGGGTAAATAAAACTGGAGATTTGAAGGTTTTAGTTAGAAATTCAGGGACTTCCCTGGTGGTCCAGTGGTTAAGACTTCGCCTTCCAATGCAGGGGGTACGGGTTTGACCCCAGGTCGGGGAGCTAAGATCCCACATGCCTCGGGGTCAAAAAACCAAAACATAAAACAGAAGCAATATTGTAATAAACTCAATAAAGGCTTTTTAAAAAAATGGTCCACATCAAAAAAATCTTAAAAAAAAAAAAAAGAAAGAAACTCAAATCATTCAAGTAGCCATAAAGCACACCAGGGCTTTAAATCCTGTCTTCTTCCAAACTGCACTTGTAACACAGGGGCACTATTTCATAAAGCATTACCTCTTTGAGTGAGATAATGCTGAGTGACTTTCAACATTGGTACTCAGCCTCTTCTTTCTGACCTCCAATCAGGTTGACAGTAGTGATGACGGTGGTCCCTGTTGTAGATACCTGGGCAGTAAAATACTCAAATTTTAAGGCCCTTCAGAATCACCTGTAGGGCTTGTGAACACACAGATTCCTGGGTACCACCCCAAAGTTTCTGATTCGGCAAATCTGGGATAGGGTGAAGATCTGCATGTCTAATAAGTTCTCAGGTGATGTTGAATCTGACGGCTCAGGAAGCACACTTTGAAAATCACTGATTTAGAGCAAAGGAATTCTGACTTCTGAGTCTGTTCTTCACAAAATCACACAACTACTGCCTCTCTGAGCCTCTCTCTGTGTCTCTCCAGCTCTGGCTCTCACTTTCTTGCTCTCTCTCTCAATCTCTCTTCTTAAATGACAAATAACTAGATATATTAGGATCTAAAACATTTAGCTCTTACTCTGATCTCAGAATTTCTGATTCGGCAAATCTACTTAGCTACTAAGGCATATGATCATTATTATTTAACATTATCCTCATCCTCAAACTAAAGTGCTAACGTCCACAGCAATGTGAAAATCACAACTCTTCTTTCATGCAGCATAAATAAGAAAAAAAGTTCTCAGATGTACAAAGGGGAGAAAGCAGAGAGTTACAATACTTTGCTTTCATTGATATTGTTCTGAAAATTAGCAATATAATTTCAATAAACCTCATATTTGAGGGTAGTTTTTGCTTTGAGTAGTAAGAAGCACAAAGTAATCCCCAGTTCTAAGGCACAAAAACCATTTGTGGATAATTTGGTTATATTCTTTCTGAAAGTGATGAGTGGGAAAAAAAAAAAAGTAAGAAAAGAGCAAGATAATTTTTATGTTCTATGAAAATCTTTCTTAAATATTCTCCATATCTTTTGTTTCAATAAAATAAGAATGCCTGCTACTATACTATAAGAAGAAGAGCAACTTTCCATGAACATCTCTTTTACTTTTAAAGTGACTATTTGAATCAGAATAATTTTGCAGAGAAGCAAATTTGGTTCAAATTCAGTACTTTGAACCCCAGATCTTATATTTGTATGGAACGTACTGCACTCCTGTTCATTTGTGTGTGAGTAAGAGCAAACCCCTCCCTTCTCCTAGTCACCTGGCTCTCAGTCACAGGCCCAGGTAGAATTCACTAACATCAATAAAGTCACTGTAATTAAATAGAAACAAAAAAGTGCAACCTCCCTGTCCATATCATGGTGAGGACCACCAACATTGGTTACTTCCTGCTCTGAGTCTGAATCATCTCCCAGAATGCCTTGCTGCTCTGCAGCCTCTACCAACAGGTCCCCCTCAGTGGACTGGAGCTGTCTTGAAGGCACATTCACACCCCAGCACCTAGCACGGTGGGTGCTTTCTGGGAGGTGTTTGATAGATGTTTACAAAACGTAAATAAATGCAAATATTTACCATCAGATCTCCATGGCATTACCCTGTCCAATATGGGACCCAGATGTGATTTGGTATTCTACTACCATTTTTCTTTGTAAATTGAATTCTTAATTTCATCTAGCAAGGCCAGTTACCTCATTTTTATTGGTTAGAAGAATACAATAATGGGATATCTTAGTCTTAAATGTTGAAATCTTCCCTTAGAGATGGAAATTGTGTGTTTATAGTTACTCCACAGTTTTTACCTGAATACAGAGTCTTATTGTCCATATGTTGAAATGATAAATGTTAGCAATGGTAAGGTTACAAACCCAAGAAAACTGTGTAAATGAGTTATAAAATTAATGGAAAATAAAGTTGAATAGTATACATGTTTTTATAGTTCTGAAAGATAGTTTTTGAGTTATCTAATATAATGTTATTTTGTATATAAATATACTCTCAAATGTCACACCATAATGACACTCTTTAGTGATTTTTTAAAACTATAATGTCAACTAACATATTTCTTGTTAATCCAGAGTTATTAATTGCTACTTCTTTTAGTAGCCAAAGAAAACCAAAGGATAAGTTTGGGCAACTTTTAGCTACCAATTTGAAGGTAAGATTAAAATAACAATTAGAATTGGAAATGCTCATACATTTAATTGACACAAATCCTTATACATGAAGCTAAAAGTGAAACAGCCTGAAAATAAGTTCAGTGGAAGTTTCAACTTCTAACATATCTCAATCAAAAGTTGAGAAATGATTTTAAACTGACTTTATTTCCAAAGAGCAAGAGATCATTTTCTTTTTTTAAAAAAAATGGGCCCACAAAGTAATAAAATTTCTGTGTACAGAGATTTAAAAAAAGAAGAGTGGTACTCAGGCATCCCTGTCCTAGGCATCAATCTTCTACCAGTTTTGAAGCGGCCCCGCACCATTGGCTGCTGGGAGTGTGCTCATGCTCGTGAGCACAACCTGCTCGGACAGTTTTGATATGTTATCAATGTTGCTGATCTGGGTGGTCAGGGACTTTCGGCTCTCAGTGCTTGTCCGTCCCCGGGCCAGCGGATCCTCCTGGCGGTGATGAACTCCAAGGCAACAGCAAGAAAATGCAGCTTTAAATTCCTCTCGAAATTTTCCTGGCAAACCAGGGAGAATGAAAGGAAAAGGAATTCAATATGTTTTAACCAATCATGAATAAAATACAACTGACTGGCTCCTATTTTGGAAAAGGAAATTGGCTATTGGAAGCTTTTTTAATAATTAAATTAATTAAATTAATTAATTAATTATAATTAATCAATTTAATTTTAATTATTCAGTTAAATAATTATTAATTAATTAATAATTATTCAGTTAAATTAATTATTTAACTGAAGTATAGTTGATTTACAATATCATGTTAGTTTCAGGTGTACAGCACAGTGAATGCTATATATATATATACATATATATATATATATATATATACTCACACACATATATATACATATATGTATACATATGTACATGTATATTCTTTTTAATATTCTTTTCCCTTATAGGTTATTACAAAATACTGAGTATAGTCCCCTGTGATATACAGTAGGACTTTATTCTTTATCTATCTTATATATAGTAGCAGTAGTGTATATGTTAATCCCAAACTCCTAATTTTTCTTCCCTCCACCCCTTTCCCTATTGGTAACCATAAGTTTGTTTTCTATGTCTGTGAGTCTATTTCTGTTTTGTAAATAGGCTCATTTGTATCACTTTTTTTAGATTCCACATATAAGTGATATCATATGATATTTGTCTTTCTTTGTCTGATTCACTTTACTTAGTATGATAATCTTTATGTCCATACATCTTGCTGCAAATATATACAATGGAATATTACTCAGCCATAAAAAAGAATGAAATAATGCTTGGTACACTCTTGAAACACTGACACATTTCCATAAAATAGTGAGGCTGCTTTTCATGCCCAGTGTTTGGAGTTTGTTTGATGCCTTTAGAGGCAAACCACCTATACTTGTGAATGTGGGTTATTGTTAACTAGATAACTATAGTAAAGCTGAGTATCAGCAGAAAGCTACCCAGAGATATTTAACAATTTAAAAAATGATGAAACCTAGGTTATACATGGCCAAAGGTACACAGAAATTATCCCTGCATTGTACTATGAAGAAACTGTTCTATTGACACAATCAGTTCAACAAGATATCTAGAAAATTTCTAACGTTTCATAATCTGCATAAGGCAGAACAAACTGAAAGAAAAACAAACAACTTTAGAAGTTTTTCTTTATCTTTAAATTATTGATGTGACATTGGAGAAGGAGAAGGATGAAACACTGACCTTTTAAGCCTCTAAGGGTAAATGGCAGTGTTGGAAATCACCAGTTCTTTTCTCTGAGCTTTGATTACCTACCTGGGTTGTTGAGTGATTAAAATTGGTTCCCACTGATTATCAGCTGCCTTCTTGCCTCATCTTAACCCCCACCATGGCACTTTGACTTGGTTCTGTGGCTTCTACTTCAGATAATTCTCCCTATGACCCTCTAATAGATTTTCCCTGTTTAGTACAAGCTCAGGGCCTTAGTCATCCCTAAGCCCAGAGCAAGTGTTTCCCCACTGCTTTTTTAGTCACAGCTCCTCAGCTGTGACTTCTTCCTTCAAACAGCACTGGGGCAGTGGTCTCTGCTTATCCCAGTCTGAATGTAGTCTTTATTTTGGAGACTGAGGTTGAATGTGTAAGGGGAAGGCATGAAAAGGGGCAACTGAATACAAACCACCCCTCACATATACACCACCTGATTCACCAAAAGGTGAAATAAAGCAGGTATATAGAGGGTACATGCCATGACTGAAAAACAAAAAGTTATTTAAAACAAAAAGCCTAATTGGTTATCTTTTTTAATAACCTATATAACCTGGAAGGCCAAAGATGAAGTTAGAAAATGCACATACTTTATTCAGCATGCAATAAAATGAATTGCTTATTCTTTCATATAAAATCATCATATATTTGGAGATGGAAATAAAAAAGAAATAGTCAGGCTTCCCTGGTGGCATAGTGGTTAAGAATCCACCTGCCAATGCAGGGGACATGGGTTCAAGCCCTGGTCTGGGAAGATCACACATGCTGCAAAGCAACAAAGCCCATGTGCCACAACAACTGAGCCTGTGCTCTAGAGCCCGCAAACCACAACTATTGAAGCCTGCACACCTAGAGCCCGTGCTCTGCAACAAGAGAAGCCACCTTAATAAGAGGCCTGCACACCACAACGAAGAGTGGCCCCCGCTTGCCTCAACTAAAAAGAAAGCCCACATGCAGCAACGAAGCCAACGCAGCCAAAAATAATTAATTAATTAATTAAAAAAAAAAAGAAATAGCTAACCGGTTGGAAAGAAGACAATGTAAAGATACAGCTAATTAAAACACAATTCTAAAACTTAATCAGGCAAAATGTTGGTAGATAAAACAATATTTAAATGATTTTTATAATTATATTGATTCCATAAACAGATGGGTGAAATCAATTGTAGAGGTGTGTATGTGTGGTTCATTTAGCTTATGTGTTATTTAGAGGAATGTAATTTTTTTTGTGATCAGTGAGAAATCTTGAGATAAACCCAAGAGATGTTACCCACAAGAGAATTGTAAATACATAGAAATACCTAAAAGTGGAAAGGTTCCAATTCCATTTCAATTAGGCTACAAACGTTGTCAAAGGAAATGATACAAGCAAGGCTGTTTTATTTTCAGATGAAATGATTTTACATCATTATAAATCATAAGTTTAATGTATGACAAGCAAGGTTCTCTTATTCAGTTCTCACAGTTCTCACCTTCCTCCTATTTCAAATTTTCTTCTAGATTTTATGGAAAAAATTACTTAGATAATTTTTTCTGATGCGTTAGGTAACACATGTTCCCTCTTATAAGGGAAAAAACTCAAGACCAGTCAGATCAGGGAAAAATACTCTCATTGTATCACAACTAATATATTCATACTGTTCAAAAGTGTTCAGACCTTCTGGTCATCAATCCCTCACCCTGGCCTGTGGTTTGTACAGAAGAAACAGTTGAAAACTCACCACTGAGAAAATTATAAATAATTGGGTTCGCAGCACTATTGGCATATACAAGCCAGTGTGAAAAGGTAAACCAGGCATATACAGTCTCTCTGTCTTCCGTGTGGGTAAACATCCCAAATACTCTGTAGGAAAAGAAACAGTAACATGAAATGCAGTACGATTCTGGAAAGTACCTTTTAAATAATTAAATTCAAGGGTGAACACAGCCCTTGGTGGCAGTTCCCTGACTCCAGTGCTGCCCTGCAGGACAGACCACTTGTAGGTTTAGGGCACACAGTGGGGCTAGAATAACTTCAGTACCTGAAGGGCACCTCCAAGGCACAATTAGTAAATCAAAAGCCAAATCAGGTCAGAGAAGGTCTCTCCTGTAAACAACAGCAATAAGAATACAAAGGTTGAATATACATCTATCTACCTTCTTTCATTTTTTTCTAAACACAATGGAGCAGCTTTTGTTACTGTTTCATTTTGTGTGTATTTTATTTATTTATTTATTTAACACTGGAGTATAGTTGATTAACAATATTGTGTTAGTTTCAGGTGTACAACAAAGTAATTCAGTTATACATATACTGAATACTATGCTTTTTTCAAGTTCTTTTCCTATTTAGGTTATTACAGAATATTGAGCAGAGTTCCCTGTGCTATACAGTAGGTCCTTGTTGCTTATCTACTTTAAACATAGCAGTGTATACAAAAGCACTTCTAAATTGCAGTCTGTAAGCACTTCCTACTTTCATTTGTGCATTGATCAATATTACATTTCTTCAACTCCAATCTTACAGCCTTGCTGAAATTTGACTTCTGGGATTTCTTTATATGCAGAGAAGAGCTAGTTTTCAATAGGCAAAATTCTGGTAATTTCTTAAGTTCATGAGTTTTAATTTTTTTTTTTATTATTTTAAACTCTGAAAAATATGTTATTATTATCTCCTTAAAGGTCATTTTTAAGATTTGTTCTGTACTTCAAAATACCCGTTTATCAAATTCTATTCACTAGACAACAGCAGGCAACTTGCAACTACCCAATAAATGTATAGGCTGAAGATTATAATGCATTTCCTGCCAGAGGGTCCATCACTGATTGTGGAATTTGTGCCCGTGATAGAAATATGTTGCCAGAATAAAGTGGTGTTCCAAGGAGTACTACAGTTTTACAAAAATATAATATATAGTAAGACAACATGGATAAATAGAATTAATATGTTATGACCCTCTACCACAATGTATCTTTGAAATCCTAGACAAACCAGACCTGCTTTAAAGAAGTTGGTTTTGACTAGTCAGACAAAACACTAAGTTTCAAAGAAAAGAATTTAGGACTTTATTTGTAAGAGAAAGAAAACACAAGCATAAAATGCAAGGGCAAACAGAGATAAGTATTTGAAGAAAATATGTGTGATAAAGAGAAAAACAATTTTCAAGGTTATTTTGAAATTTTTATTTTGTGACAAAGAGCAGAAGTCTCAAAAAATGGAAACTATTTTAAATTTAACGTGGACTTTCTCCTTAGAAATCCATTTATTTTCCTTGGAAAGGGAGGTCTGTAAGTCAGAAGAATAGAGAAATATTATGGAGAAGTAGGTATTTGGAACCAGCTAAAGGGAAGGTACAAGTGCTGAGATACAGGAAATCCAAATGAGTCATCCAGAGAGCAGTAAATCCAATTTTCATTGAGTTTACATTGACTAAAATAAAAGTACAAAAAAAAAAAAAAAAAAGGAGAGAACCTATCCAGTATCCTTGCATGTTTACAAGGTTCTTTAGAGCAAAAATCATCATCTATCATCAGACTAGAATACATTTGTATGGGATTTCTGTGGGCAAGAAAAATAAGAAAGGAATTATGAAAAAATATGGAGGGCAAAGTTGCTTTTGTTTTCCTGTGAGCCAGTATACATCTGAAGGACCCAAGCTGCCACATATCTTATACCTTTAAGGCTGTGTCTGTACTAAACAAAACTGCTGAACAGAAGTTCATTTTCTCTTTCTTTTCCATTGAAAAAGTCATTAAGAATAGATATACGTATAACTGAATCACTTTGCTATACAGCAGAAATGAATACAACATTGTAAATCAACATTACTTCAATAAAAATTTATTTTAAAGAAGTAAAAAAAAAAAAAGAAAGAAAAAGTCATTAAACAATCAAAAAAGAGGTCCAAAAGAGAATGACAAATCTTTGCAGCTGGTTATACCACCTTTAGACTGTGTGATTCCAGCCAAAGTTGCCTCTCTTCACAGTCCCCAGACATGAGGAATAGGATATTGACTCTGGATCCAGGAAAAATGAGGGAAGAAATCCTAGTTTTATTTCGAAGCCTCTGATAAACAGAATTAGTATTACCTTGGGGCCAGTCTCTGTGCAACTATTACGATAATTCCCAATAAAGATGATTGGCCAGAAGGTTCCTTGTTCCCTGCATTGGTTGATCATGTTGGTTGTTTGAACTTAAAAGTGTCTCTGCAGCATTAGAAATAACATACCTTCTCTTACTGAAAACTTTTGTACTGATTTTTATTAATATTCATGCTAAACTTGATTCAATGATGTCAGGAAATGAATTTTCTTTCTTTCTATTTAAACAGTCAAAACACAGTATGTGCTGTGATTCCATTTGTTTGTGTGTGTGCTCACAAATGCACTTTTTAAGTATAATTAGAATGCTAACAAAATTCTTATCTCTTTTTATCCTTTAGATAAAGTTCTGTCACCGTTTCCTATGTCTTTGAGAACAAAGTTTGGAAAACCCATTTGTTCTGATCAAAAAAGAGCTCCGAGCTGTAAATGAGTGTTTTGCATTAGAACTTCTTCTGCATCTAAGGCTTAGCAATTAGCTTGAAGAGGTCAGAGGAACATCTGTTTTATGTCTGCCATTCAATAGAGAATTTGCATGGATAAGAGCATTTAAAATCCCAGCGCTCTAAAAAACTGTGTTCCCTACCTGCTGGTAACAACAACACATTGAGTTATCTGGCCTGGCAAGCTATCTAGGCAGATGGTCTCCATTTTTCTCTGGCTTAAAAAAAGTCCTTAATTAAGAACCAAGAAAAATGGCTGATCTCTTCATTTTCAAATAATAAGTGAACTTTACCTCTTTAGCACATTGAGGATGCTAATTGGTAGATAGCAAATTGCAAACACCAAAAGCACAACCATCAGCATCCGGGCTGTTTTCCGTCTGGCTCGGATCTGCTTTACTTCAGCGGCCACAGCGCTAATCCTGGATTTGGTCTGCTGTCCTGGCCCCCGAGGCTGTGAAAGAGGCTGCAGGGCCTTCCATTTTCTCTGAACTACAGATGATGTTCCAGGAATCTGAAAGGAACGGATACCCTTTATTGTTATCTGATTTAGGAAAGTTCCACTTTGGAGGAGTAATTGGAAGACACAGTAAGGAGAGTATCCCAGACACCCGTAGTCTAGGAGGTTTGCGAGCCTCTTTCCCCAGAACGTTTGCTGAGTGGAGTGTGTTCTTGAGTAATACAGCCGAGTGCCAAATAGGAATCTGGGTGGAAAAAAAAAGTTGCAACATCACCATTTTGTTGAGGTCTAAAGAGAGATGCAAATGGAAACGATATCTCTTTATAAAAAGAGAAGTTGTCCACTCAAAGGAATAATATTCAACACTAAAAAGAAATGAGCTATCAAGCCATGAAAAAATAGAGAGGAAACTTAAGTGCATATTACTCAGTGAAAGAAGCCAATCTGAGAAGGCTACCTATTATAAGATTCCAACTATATGCTATCCTGGAAAAGATAAAACAATGGAGACAGAAGAATGATCAGTGGTTGCCAGGGGTAATGGGGGAAGGGATGAATAGGCATAGCACAGAGGATTTTTAGGGCAGGGAAAATACTACTCTGCATGATACCATAATGATGGATACCTGTCATTACACATTATACAATGTATTTGAATACACCATCCAAACTCATAGAAGGTACAGCATCAAGAGTGAACCATAAAGTAAACTGTGAACTTCCGGTGACTATGATGAATCAATGTAAGTTCATCAGTTTTAACAAATGTATCAGTCTGGTAGGGGATGCTGATAATGGGGAGGCTGTTCATGAATGGAGGTTGGAGAGAGATGGGAAATCTCTGTACCTTCCACTTGATTTTCCTGTGAACTTATAACTACTCTAAAAAAAATATGAAACCAAAAAAAACCTTCTTAATTTAAAAGGGAGAGAACTGAAAACTGGGGAAGAAGAGCTCTTACTAGGAATTCTGATTCAGCTCAGATACCTAGAGTTGAAACAGAAGGAAAACCTAACAGGTAATTGCAAAAGTAACCTGCATAGTTTTTCATGCATCAATACTGCCACCTGCTGCCAGATGGAGAGATAGGACTTAACTACCTATTGCTTTTTATCAGGTTTTCTGCTTCTCAGGTTTGGTTAAGGCAAACCTTTGAATAAAAGGAATAAAAGTAAAATAAAATATTCTCTGTTGCTTATCATTTGTTGTTACAAAATTTCTTGAAGGACCGACCCTTTAAAATGCACATAAAACCTTGAATACCCCTTGTGGTCTTCCATGAACATTTCAAATAGCTGGAATTTGTAACAACAGCTACACAATTTGTACTTTTCCACTTCTTTTCAAAGTTATTTGATAATAGCAGGGAGTCCCTCCAAGTATAATATTGTGTTAATTATAAGCTCATGAAGATTGATAGGGTTTAGTGAGCAAAACAATAAAATTCAGCATGTGTAATTTTTTAAGAGTAAAATGTGCCAACAAGCACACCATAAGCACATCCTAGTTCTATTAAGATTTTTCAGCTGTTGCTTTTATCTCTGTGCTGCAAGCCAGAACAGACCAATGGGTCTCTCACAGTGGATGTTGGATGGATTCTGTTGCTTTATCCATAACAAGATCCAAGTGTGTTAGATAAGCTTTAATTTGAGAACAGAATTTTACTTTGATTTCCACACAGATGAATTAATGATAATTAATTAATTATGGTGCTCCTTTTGAATATAACTATTCTCTCTCAAAAAGAAGCAAATGAAGTTAAGGAAAACCTGCCCTTAAATTGAAAAACACCTGATAAATGATTTCTCTTCGTATTCTGTATGTCCTGCCATGTAGGCTGACCTTTTCACATCGTGGTGGCCTCACTCAATCTTCTTATCCATTGATTGAGACTCCTTCCTCTTCTATGAGTCTTTTTTATAGATAGTCATTTTTAAAAATAATTGAGGAGAAGCTGCAAAGAATGTTGGAAATTTCCAGAAAAACTGCAACATGAGTAACCCTATTAATGTCTGCTAAATGGCCTTGAACTGTTTCCTAAATGATCTCTAAGAGATCATTTAAACTTAAGCAATCTGTTATTCAATGCTCCCCTGAGGAAAAAAAATCAATATCCTGCATCTGATGACTTCTGCAACCATCAGAAAGAGTTCCCATAAAGAGAAACTGCGACAGGGAGCATAACTATTGTTCCTGCAATCATAAAAAAAAAAAAAAAAAAAAGCAGAAATGATGTCCCCTCTTAGATGATGATCTAAATAGAAGATGGTTAATCCTGCACTCATTGTGAAGAGACATACAATAATCCCCATCAATAATTTGTGTATGTCTAGAGAAAGTCAGCATAGTATCAGTAGAAATCACTAATTTTAACTGAGCACCAGGAATGATGCACAATCTGGAGTAATCATTAATGCATTCTTAAAAATAAGTTATTGTAAATCCCATTCTACAGATGGTCAAGCAGACATTGAGAGGGATTAAATAAAATATCCAAGTCTATATCTTTAATAAGTGACAAGGCAGAATTTGCACTCAGGTCTGTTTGATTGCAAAGTTCATTTTTTCCCATTGTGATACACCATTTCCATTTATAAACTTTGACACAATCTGATATGGAAGTTAGCAAATTTTTTAACACATGCCTAGTTACATAAAAGCAATAATAGTCATACAAAAGGGTTTTGAGAGATCCAGTCTATGGGACTGTCCATGTGAGAAGGTCTTTTCCTTGTCATCTCAGCGGGGGTTCAAAAATCCCTGACTGTGGAAAGCACACACACACACACACACACACCACATACACACACAACACACACTATACAAACACAACACACACACAACACACACACATACACACAACACACGCTATACAAACACAACACACACACACAGCACACACATACACAAACACAACACACACCCTTACACTCAGACACACAATGCACAGTACACACAGCACACACACACACACACTGCTTTTATTCCAATATCATAAATAAACTTTAAAATCACCTTTGAGGTGAAAATACATCCTGGAAGAGGTATTATAACAGTTATGAATTTGAACTGTCATGTAGATGGTGTACCTTGAAACCTGCCCTGTCTGAAGAAGTCTTTGTGGCCAAGATAAGCAAATGTGCTGCAAACATTAAAAAGGGGATGAGAGAATATTATGAACAACCAGCAAATTTGCAAACTCAGTGAACTTAAATGAAATGGATAAACACCATGAAAAAAAAGATAACCAAAACTGACAGTGTCTTTACAAATCCTGTTACAAAAAACAAAACAAAACAAAACAAAACCAAAAAACTCAGGCCCAGATAAGTTCATTGATGTAGTATTCAATCAAACCATAAAAAATAAATAATATCTATCTTATTTAAACTCTTTCTGAAATTCAAAGAAAAGATAATATTACAATGAATTTTAATGAAGTCAGTAACCCTGATAAAGACATGAGAACAAAAGAAAACCACTGACCAAATATCTCACATGAATAGAGATGAAAATTCCCCAAAGTATATATATCAAACCAAATCCAACAATAAATAAAAGGATAATAAATTTTGCTCAAAAAAGTAGATTTATTCCAGCAATGCAGTAATGGTTTAACATTTAAAAACATCAATCAATGTGATTTATCATATTAACAGAAAAACTATGATCATGTCAATAGAGAAAGGAAAAGCATTTGAAAACTTTCACACACTTGCATGTAAACTAGTAATAGAGAGAATCTTTCTCAACCTGATAAAAGGCATCCATGAAAAGTCTTTAGGGTATCATCCTACTTAACATGAAAGATGAACACTTTCTTCTAAGATTGGGAACAAGCCAACAAAGATTTCTCTCACCACTTTTACTCAACATTGTACTGGAGATCCTAACCAGTACAAGAAGAAAAGAAAAATAAATAAAAGGCATATAGATTGCTTCTATTGAGAAGACATTATTGCTTATGAAGAAAGTCTTAAGGAATCTACAAAAATGCCACTAGAACTAAACATATGAATTTAGCAATATGCAGGACCCTAAATCAATAAACAAAATCAACTGTATTTCTATATACTAGCAATAAATGATTCTAAATTTAAATTGAAAATAACACATTTCAATAGCAAAACATGTATTCTAAGAATACATTTAACAAAAGGTGGACAAACTATGTGTACTTAAATTATGAAAATTGCTAGGAGCTATTAAAGAAGACCTAAATAAATGAAGAAATATACCATGCTCATGGATTATAAGATTTAATATTGTTAATATGTCAATTTCCCCAAATTGATCTATAGATTTAATGCAATAAATCCCATTCAAAATAATAGCAATCTTTTAACTTTATCACTCCTTGACAACTTTTTTTTTTTCCCCACCTTGGCACTTCTCTTTTAGAATTTAGATGCATATGCTAAGTTCTTATGATCAGGATCATAACTATTTTGTCTCATTGTAGCAAGAGAATGTACATTTTTATTATTTCAATCACTTAAAATGCTTTGAGGCTTGCTTTATAGACTATTATAAGATGTAACCTGAAGACTATTCCATGTGCATTTGAGATGAATGTGTATTCTGCTACTTTTGAAGAGGTATCCCATAGATATATTAGGTCTACCTGGTTGATAGTTTTCTTCAAGTCTTCTATGTCATTGTTAATGTTCTGCCTAGTTTTTCTATCCATGACTGAAAGATGAGTGTTGAAGTTTTCAATTATTAATATTGAATTGTCTGTTTCTCCACCTAATTCTTCTAGTTGTTGCTTCCTGTACTGTGGGCTTCAGTTATTAACTGCATATAGGTTTAGAATTTTTATATCTTCTTGATGGAATGATTTATCATTTGAAATATCCCTCTTTACCCATAGTAATACTTTTTATAAACATTTCTTTTGTCTGATATTAGTAGAGCTACTTCAGCTTTCCTTTGGTTACTGTTTGCATAGTACCTCTTTTTCATTATTTTACATTTAATCTATTTGTGTCTTTGAATATGAGGTGTGTTTTTGTAGACATCATACAGTTGAATCAGGTTTTTGTTTGTTTGTTTGTTGTTTTATCTATTCTGCCAACCTCTAGAGTGTTTCATTCATTTACATTTAATGTAACTATTGAGAAGGTGTAATTTACATGTCTCCCTTTGCTGTTTGTTTGTGTGTGTGTGTGTGTGTGTGTGTGTGTGTGTATATGTATAGTTTCTATTTTGTTCCTCTATTCCTCCATTGCTTCTTTATTTTGTGCTAAGCAGATATTTTCTAGTACAGCATTTTATTTCTGTTGTTGTTTTTTTCCGCTACATTTTTTTTGAGTTATTTTTTTAGTGGTTGCCCTGAGGATTATAATTAACAACTTAATCTGTTTAGATTAATGCCAACTTAATTTCAATAATATACAAAAACTTTGCTCCAATATAGCTTCATTCCCTCCTCCTTTCTTTGAATTACATCTTTATACATTATAAGCTGAAGATTCACAGTTTTATAATTATTGCTTTACAATGTTATCTCAAGTCAAATAGGAGAAGAAAAGAATTTCAAACAAAAATATATTTATACTCTCTTCTATATTTACCTACATAGTTACTTTTATCTCTCTGTGTGAACTTGTGTTACTGCCATTTGATTCTGCCTCTGCAATTATAATTTGCTGTTTATTTTCTCATACTAAACTAACTTGTTATCATCTAATGTTAATTATTTTAAGTTCTTTTTGAAGAATGTTGAAGAATAAAGGGCAGTAGATGAGAATGTGATAAAAATTGGAACAAGGATGTTCTTTCAAAGTTTTAGTCTTTGGAAAATTGAAATTTAGTTCCAGACTCAAGTATCAGTACAGTTCATCCCCAGCTCCTCACACAGTCCCAGACACATAGTAGGTGGTCAATAAATATTTGTGGAATGAATTAATGTGAGTTCATATAATGAGTAAGATTGAAGTGTTGAATTATTTGAGAGTTAGAACTGAAAAAATGCTGTCAGGTACACAAGAGTTAAGATTTAGTGAGCCTTAAAAAGAGGAGTTCTAGAGAAGATCCTGTAGAATTTCCAGACTGAATGAGTTCTCTGAGACACATTGTCAAATAAAGATAATATTTAAGTCTTTGATTAGAGCAAAACATTGGATAATTCTTTTCATTGTAACCAAGCAGGACCCTATGGGGTCTTCTAGGGACAGGCCTTTCCTCCATATCCTGAGTTGTTTTACAGATGTGAAAACCCCCCACCAAATAGAAGAAGTTAACTACTTGATAATCATGAGCACATAGCCCCAGGCCTCCTGGAGTCTATGGATAAGGACTGATAATGTTAAGCTTTGTGACACCACCCTGTTACCTCACCATCAGCCAATCAGAGAATTGTACATAAGCTGATCACATACACTGCGACACCCCTCCCTCACCTGGCTTTTAAAAATGTTTTGCTTCAGGGAGTTCAGAGGCTTTGTAGGGCATGAGCCACCCATCTCCTTGCATGGCCTTGCCATAAACTTTCTCTGCTCCAAACTCCAAAGTTTCGGGTTTGTTTCACCTCACTGTGCATGAGGCCAATGAACTTGCACTAACATAATGAGGTTTAAAATTCTTGAGAAAGTCAGACAAGGACAGACACTTTGCTCATTAATAATCTTACACTTAGATATTTCAAAGAATGTAACAGATTCCCTGCATCTCCGTAATTTTAAGCAAATAAGACAGGCCCTCTGATTGATGGCTTACTTGATGTAGACTATGGCGCACATAATGCCTTGGAACTCTGTTTAGAGACATTAACAGTTGGAATTTGATAGTTGCTCAAGCAGAATTCTACATAATCACCATTTGGGGTTAATTTACTTTACCGTGGCTGCTAAAGTGAACTCAGATGAACTTGCTGTTTTCTATTGCAATCTGTTTGTAAATGTTTTTAGTTTCACAGCCCAAGCATTTTACTGCAAATATTCTGGATCATGTGGCTTGTACTAACCAGGACAATTCATCAAAAGAATGTGGACTATTTCTAAACCTGCAATACAATTTTGAGCTTACTTTAGAGTTTGAGAAATGGAGAACTATAAGCTTAAATAATGAAGAAGTAAACTGGTTGAGATTTGGTAGTTATCTAATTATTTAACAAACATTTTTTGAATACTTTTTTGTGCAAGGTAACATGTTAAGTGTTGGGAAGATGATGATGAACAAGATAGATTTATGTACACCCAAGAAATTTTAAAGTTATGTCATTCTGTAAATAAATGAATAAGCAAATATAAGCATCTCTTATATTTAATTCACACTACCCAGTAAAAATATGGAAGTAGGAAATGCACTTAACACTGAATATTCTTAGTCAAAATATCAATCTAAATTATCTTTATGCCTACATGCTCATCAAAGTTTTATCTTCTTCAAGAATTTTTCAAATTCTAATTTTTCTATGAACTTTGTTCTGAGTAACTGAGCAATGGATTCCTCTCTTTCCTCTTCTATCTAAACTTTCCCAGCACTTTCTCTTATTCTTCCACTAAATTTTTTCTTATACAGTATTTATCAAGCAACTGATATGTGCTATGCATGTACTAGGTGGAGGGCTACAAGATCAAGGCTAGTGTGTACTGTCTCCATCTTAGTAGATTAGAGCAGACAGACAAATAAAAAGTCATTCTCATGTTACTTAAAAGTACTATGAAAGAGATCTATCTAAGAAAGTAGTCACAAACATCGATTCAACACATGCTTATTATTTTAGAAATATAAGCAGAATGAGGTGAAAGGCTAAATAACAGCATATACTATTATGATATTTTATTTAATGAGCCCTTTCCATGCTTGAGGCACTTGAATTAATTCATCTAATAAGTGTGAGGTAGATGCTATGCACCCCTTCTTGGCACAGAAATTTAAGTAACTGACAAAACTCCCACATCTGTTAAATGGCAGGGTTAGAATTTAAACTCATGCAGTCAGGACCTTGAGTCTGTGTTTTTGACTTCTGTATTATATCAGTTCTGGTCATTCACTCCCACTGGCCAGGTGGAGATTGTTAAGGAAACTATCCCTACGATGTGGAAAATCACCACTCATGGTTTACAGTGATACACATTTGTTATTTTAGTTACAAAGACTGGGGAACAGAATGCATTTATAACGTCAGAAAAGAAGTGACTTCTTTACAAAAATAGAGGAAATGAAAACATTTGGAATTATGAGACATACGGGGTTGAAAAACACAACCATTGCTCACATACAAGAAGTAAAAGATGATCTTAAAAATCGCTTTGAATAACAAGGGTTGAAGAAGACCCAGATTAAGACTCATCCTCAGACAAAAACCAAATAAAAGGTTTATGAAATCCTTTAAATGAGTAAAGTGGCCCAGTAAATTCTTTCAGTTGGATAAAATATGTCAGAACAAACAGACTAAGTGTGTGGCTTTCCGCAAGCCTGATAAGCTCAAAATACTGGCAATAAATTTAGGAAAAAAGAGATACATTTCTGAGAAATGTGGCACTTTAAGATACAATTTACAAGTACAAGAAGCTGAGTTATATTCCTTGTCTGTACCTTTACATGTTCGTCGATTTCCTTAGAGTCATCATGATTCAGCTTAAATGTCTCCTGGTCTGAATTAGATCCACCTCCACTAAGCTTTTTTCTGATCCCCTTTGCTTATATTTTTTAAGGTGAGTTTTGCCCTGGAACTGTTTCCTTCCTCTAGACTATGAATTCACCAACGACACAGACTAGAACATTTAGCTTTTTATCAGATATGCATGCAAAAGTAATATAAATATTTGATGAATGAATAACTGAGTGAATGAATACATTCACTGAGTTAATAAATGAGTGAATGAATACATAGCAAAATTATCTAACATTTCAATACAAATTAGCATAAACAATTTTTAAAATTCTCAATTCTGTCTGACTCTTCTACTGTTTTGAAAAAATAATAAGATCTTTGAAGTTGGAGATTTAACCCTATAATAAAAATGTATTACATACATCTCATCAAAAATGTATTACATACATCTTTACTTACAGTCTCAGGAAACTTTAAAGGAATTTTTATTTGTTATTTCTCATAAAAAGTAAAATTTACAATATTATTCTAAACAAAAATCAAGTCGATTAATCACAGAGGTTTAAAATTTAGTCATTAAGGCAGTTCATAAATAACATTCCCTAAATATCACCCTAAAAAATGCCTAGACATATGTTCATGACTAAGACCTCATTATTTTAGAAGGACACACAATCCTTTGCTAAGCATATTATATAGGTTCAATTCACTCTTAAATTTTGTTTTTAAGGACATCCTAAGGAAAACACAAGAAAGTTATTTGAAATTACTTACCTGTCGGCACCAGAGTTTACGAAATATTTGCAGATAGGCCAACACCATAAGACACAGTGGTGCCATGTAGGTCACCAGAAAGAAACAGATGTGATACATCTTGGGGTAAATTTCACCTGGAATGAAAGTTAAAATAATAAAATATTATAATTCATAGACTTTTTAAAAGTACATCTGTCAATGTTTTGCCTTCAAAATTACCTTCTATATGATTTCACTGTTATGTCATACACACAAAAGGGGAAAATGATATATAATATTAACTACTTACATTTCAGTACTAAATGCAAAGTCTTAGTGTCATGTAATCTACTCAGAGGAAGAACAATTAGCCATTTCTTAATTTGTGTTACTATAGTCTATCCAGTCAAGTGTTCATTTATCAAAAAGCCTTTTTTTCTCTTAATTACATCTGATTAATCAATAAAAATTAATTTGGATCGTCCTATACTTGGATTTGCAAGGAGGGACATTACTCAATCAAAACTTAATTGCTAATGCTTTAGTTAAAATGGAAAAAGACAGTAAACTAAGTTGATTCCTCTTCATTTCCCTCTTGAGAGATGAGAAAATATTCCCAGTTGTATCTCCAAATATGAATTCAGAAAGTTTTTGGAAAAATAAAACAGCAAACATTTGATAATGATTATTTTTATTGACTTACTAGAACATATACAAAATTCCTCTCTAAGTAAGTTGTGCATGTGTGTTAATGCATGTACTTTTAATAAAAATGAGATTTTTAGGGTTCTTTAAAGTTACATTTCAAACCAATATGGGTATCTTCTTTTTTTGATATCCATCTTACTTATCAGGCATAAGTACATATAGGATTGTAGTGATTGCTTATTTGTCATTAATTCTATGTGCACAGGTAATACATATCAGATTACGGCATTTATAAGGAGTCAATCAATTGGCACTGTGGCTTAATATTAATTTTAAATTTTTCTAAACTATATCCATTACTGACTTTTAAAACACTTTAAGGGATATTTCTCTTTAACTAGTATTTGAATATATCACACTGATCAAGCTACTTTTACTTAAATGTAAAACAAGAAACAATATATCCTAAATGGATACCATGGACATTAAATGCCAATAATTTGATACAATTCTAACTAATAAAACAAAAGTTTTTTTTTTTAATTCTAAAAATTATGTAACTTATTTCGACTTTGATATTGGCAATAGGATTGGTTCTACACTATTATGGAAGGATAATGCTATCACTTTCATGGATTTTATTACTTTTGTTACTTCAGAAAATATGTAGAAGCATGAAGACTCGGTTATGTGCTCAAACGTGGTAAGAGCAATTTATACTGAGGATTAACCAATAATAATTATGATGATGACCATAATGACTGATAACAATTATTGAACATTAATTGAATTCTTAGTGAATATATTTTCAACATATCAACATATCCTCATATCAATATGTGATACGTATTACCTGCGCACATAGAATTAATGATAAATAAGCAATCACTACAATCCTATATGTGCTTATGCCTGATAAGTAAGATGGATATCAAAAAAAGAAAATACCCATATTGGTTTGAAATCTAACTTTAAAGATCCCTAAAAATCTCATTTTTATTAAAAGTACATGCATTAACACACATGCACAACTTACTTAGAGAGGAATTTTGTATATGTTCTAGTAAGTCAACATATCCTCCACAGTATTGATTTCATAGTCTTCTAGAGTTTAATATTCTTCTTATTTTTACTCCTAAAACTGTCTTCTTTCTCAGACAGATGTTTTTCTCCACTACAATCTTTAGAGCACACAGCAGGGTGTATGTGCTACCAGGAGGTCTAAAAGACCAATTTGACGTGTCATTTTTAGCTTCTCTGGGGCCCAGGTGGCTCACATCTAGCTCATCAGCTTCAGTTTCTAACTTCCTTTCAAGTTTATCCTGAAAAACAAGCCAGTTACATAAAAAGTGATAGAATCCGAGCAGCCTGACTGGAGGAATAGCAAACAGCTTTTCCCTTTGAAGTGCCACAGCATTCAAAGTGCCATGCAGCATTTGCAGAGCCAATTTCAAAGGAGCTGGAGAGTGACCTCGGCACTTCCCAGGCACCTGAGTGGCTTTGAACTTCTATTTGTTTTGAAGAAAGTGTCGTATAAGCTTTCCACAAAAAAAAATATACCTTTAAAGCTTACATACCTGTGAATCCCTGATGTCTGCATCAGACAATTAAATTGAGTGAGTGGAGAAAGGTAGATTTGGTAGGTCATTTATTTTTAAACTGCAGAGATGGATACCATCGCTGTGATAACAGTCTGGAGTTTTAGACGGGAAAGAAAGCTCATTCTGCAACCGGTATATTTATAAATAGTTAGAAAAATATGTAATTGGCTGGTAAATGCATATTATGATAATGAACATCAACAGAGAGAAAAACTGATCAAGCAAAATTACACTTGCAGGCTAAGATAGATTGTTTTAATAAAGAGATTATTATAGGTAATTGGGGAAACATGATCGTCTTAGATTCTTCATTTCATGCTTAGAGTCTAAGCTAATTGAAAACCCAGAAATGTCATTGAAAGTTTAAATTATATGTGTTGAAACTATCTTTGAAGTTTCTCTACACTTGATAAGCAATATTTTTAAATATATTTTAAGACATTCATATGTCTAGAAAGTAGCTACATGAAATTTGTTCACTTAAGCATTCCCTAAATTAGAAAACAGCATTTTAAAGATTGACAACCGTTAAAATTTCGTGTCTCTACTCAACGGATGAATAGGCATAATCTGCATACATTCTTGTATGTATATCAAACCAACAAATAAGGAGCAAATGTGGATCTTTCTTTAGTCTTTGAAATCAGAGATTAAAGAAAAATGTCATGTATTAGATAGATAAAGCTTAACCTCTCTTAGGTGAGTTAAGGTCCATTGTTGAGTGAACATGTTAATATAATTACCTAAAAACGACAAACATTTTCTCCTTCATGTTACACCTCTCAAGGATTCAATGGAAAATTAAATTAAATATAATTTTCCAAATATTCAATTTGGAGAGTCTTTTCCAAGTTCATGTATCCATAAAAGTTTATCTGAATCTGTAATATATTTTATTAACTTCTCCCTAATAAGTGTTTTCAATAAATGTTCCTATTAATAAACACACATATGTATATACTTTCCAAATCTCATAATAGGCCACATACCATAATTAGCTTGAATATAAGGAAGGGCTCCACTATTATTATTATTTTTCAGACCACCAAAGAATAATTTGGCAGTACAATCCAAGAGGAGGGAGATTATAAATCCCCGGCATCCAAAACAATGTTTGACAAACAGTACATGCTCATTAAAAGTTGGATGAATTACTAGTAAAACATATCTTGGATTGAGTGGGAAAAGACAGTTAATTTCTTCCAATAGGATCTATCCTGTGAAAATATGCATTTACAAACCAAGCAATCAAGAAAGTATGGTTATAATTCTGGAAGAATTTTAAACTTTCAGAAGTGTGAATGGATGTGATTAATGCAAACAGTGAACATACACAAAAACATAATTTAAACATCGTTAAAATAAATATTAACACATTTTATTTGTTTTTGAGTGTCAAGTGTGTCTGCCAAGAACTGAAAAGTTTGTGGTCTTTTTTTGAACAAACCATAGGCAGTGATCAACATAATGAGTTGCAGAAGTAATGTATCCATAAAATATTACATATTTGTGGTCTTATTTCCAGTAAGACAGAGTTCTCAGTTATTTTGCACCATGAGTGAGACAGCATTTGCAAGACTTTCCCAAAAGTTATTTGATAGATATGAATCAAGTGACCACATAGTTTACTGACTCTTTCCACATTGTAATATTGGTTGTAGGACCATAATGATATCTCTGTCTACTTTTATAACCAAATCATTAATTTAACTTAGGATAAAGATAAGAAATCAGTTTATGAGTTAATAGCAAATAAAAGATATTTCACAACAATTTTTTTAAAAATGGGACTAAATGGACTTTCAAGATGTTTGAACTTTAGAGAGCTAGCCCTTTCTATGGTGATTTTAAGTTGTGACTATCACATACATATCCAAGCTTTAAAATTTTAAGTTAAACCTAGATTTATAAATAGCTTATATTAACAAAGCTTATGCTAATGTAAAAATCATTAAAATAAACTAAATGTCTAATGAGCAGAATAATAAGAACCTGCTTTTAATTTTTCATATTCTTCTTAAGAACATGAAGTTATTGATAATTTCATTTAATATATGAAAAACTAATTTCATAGATTTTATTGCTTGATTTTGTGGATGATCAACTCAATTCAGTATCACTTAGCTTTTAAAATCATTTTAAGTAATTTTACACTAATATAAAATCACTTTCAAATAGCTTTCCTAAATGACTTCTGAAGACTGAGTTTAGATTTTTAGGTATTTGGTAATAATTTCTTTTTTTTAAGGAAAATATCCCTTCTATATTTAAGTAATAAAATGTGAGAGGTTGGGATGCCTTTTATATATTTATATCTGTTGCTTAAAGTTAATTAGAAAATGATGCAGCTATTTACTTAATCATGATGACTAACGGGATTCCCTAGTTCTGCAATCCTTTTGCTCATGGGAGTTAATGCAACTTGATCATTCAGGGCAACACTAAAAAAAGGACAAGTTTATAAAATCAGTCCACAGACTTATAAATGAAATTAATTACCCAAATACTTTAGAGAAACTACTACTGACACATATTGAATAATAGGTGGGAATTTTAATCTAATTACCATCTCCGTAAACTTAAAGAATCCCAGCTTGTGAGTTGGAAGCTTCTGAAAGCAGCTCTTCTGCACCTTTCCTGTTTGCCCATTTCTGTTCCCCTCTAACCTTAAAAGAATCTAATTATAGGAATGAAATCACTAGGCAATTCAAACTAACTCCTGACTTATGCTCTCCTGAACACACACGGTGCCTTGCATAACCTGTGGATTCTTTATCTAGATTAAAAGAAGTAAGAATGAAGAATTAAATAGTTAAAGAATGACTAGCTCTCTACCCACAACAGTCCCCTTAGCGATCCTGCAGGCAGCCCACATGGGCAAGATAAAGAAGAGAGAGTCAGCCAGCCTACACTCAATGGAGAATGATGCAGAATCCAAACTCCTGCCTAGATGATTCACTGAGATTCTTCCCCCTTTTTTCCCTTCAAAAACTGTCATGGCTGAGCAGAATCTTTGGAGGTGGTCCCAGGACATGAGTCCACCTTCTCCCCAGATTGCCAGCTTTTCTGATTAACACAACTTTCCTTTCTACTGACACTTGCCTCTCGAGTATTGACTTCTGAGGGACGAGCAGCCGAATCTGGGTTCGGTAACACTTATATTTAAATGTGCTTCATAATATTGAGCAAATAATTTAATTTATGGCTCAGTTTCATCATGATTAACTAAAGCATTCTGATCAAGAGATCTTTAGGCTCTTTTCCAAATATAACTCATTGCATAGGAATTAGATAATAGTAAGAGATATGTCATATTTGGCTCCCAGCCCACCTTTTCCCAAACACAGTTCTTTAGACTGTATTCCAGAAACTACAAGTTTGGACTCTCTTCCTTTCTTCTTCAAGGAATGGTGCCCATTGTGTGAGTTTTCCTGCTTCTTAGGACACCATTTTCCCTCTTCCTTGTCTAGAAAAGCCCTACTCATTTTTTTTTTTTTTTTTGGTAGATTATCGTCATTTAATTGGCCAAATTATTAAATTGTACATTGAAAGAGAATCACACTCATGCTAGTGAATCTCCACATTTTTAAAGTTTTTATTAAGCTGAAAAATAAGTGAGATACTTAAGCATTAAGACATAGTCAAATCAAAAGGCAAAACAAGTTCATTCTGAGAGAACAGAGTTCAAACCCTGAGCAAATGAACTGCCCCTTGAGCTTCCTCCCTGCTCATCTTTAATGCTTTGCTGAAATGTTAGCAGGTCCTTATAAACTTTTGTTCACATGGCCAGGACTGAGTTTGTCCTCTCACTTGTGCTCCTAGCACTTTGTATATAAGTATATTAAAATACTAATCACACTATAAACCTTTATTTATTTGCATTTCAGCCTCATTATATACAACGGGTTCCCTTGGGCAGAGTCTATTTCTCTTCAGGTTGGCACAATTTCTGGCATATCCTAAGTACTCAAGATGTTGTTTGAACATTAAATAAATGGGACTGAAGACACTTAAGGAATATTTCTATCATTCTGGAACTTTCTACTCATTTTGTTTTTGTCTTCATTGTTAATGGGGAAACTTGGGAAAAACTGAAGAAGATACAGAAAGAAATACAGCAAAAGAATTGCAATTGAAAGGAAGAATAAATCTCAATTTTTAAAAGGAGTATTTAATATTTACAGTAATAGATAAAGCAAATTTTGAAATTTTAAGTATTATAGGTCTTTGGATAACATATGGAATAATCTCAGTGTCTTTTGAGTTTTATCTTGCTGTAGTGAAAACATATGCCTAATTTTTCAGTTCCTGATTTTCCTCTTTTCAGTGTTCCAATAAAAGAATCAAGGTAGGAATTAACATGAATTCAGAGATTCATATGCTTGAAAATACCAGGTCCATGAACAACCTTGGTGTGCACTGCCTCTGTTGGTACATCTTTCCAATAAACAAGTGCTTTCCTAATGTTTACAGTTTAAATATGAGCCATTGTAATATACTTACCCAGAAGAGAACAGATTGTTTCCTTTAAATTCCGTGTGATAATTTTGTAACTAGTGTTGAAATGCAGGATTATTTTATTTTCTTTCATTCTTTGCTGTGTCCAGATTTGTGCCACCACCAGGCATTGATAAAGGTGTTTCCACTATTACAGAAAAACCTCAAAGACTGTTGCTGAGAGTTTTGAACCAAAGGAGCATAAGGCCTCCTAACTTGATTGCTTAAATTTAACCACTGAACATATCAGATGGGAAACCAAAAAAAGATTCATAATTTCATAATTAGTGTAATTCTTAAGTCAGAAAATATTCCAGTGATAAAATGTATCAGTTTACTATATTATGAATAGAGAAAACGTGTGTAGCTAATCTGACTCAGAGAACAGCATAGGTCCACGGGCAAGAAATTCATGTTCCCAGGCCAGACATGGTTTTAAAGTGAAAAATCCAGTTGTATTTGAAGCCCATTAGGGAACCTGACACCTGAGACTATACTATGTTCTACCATGTTATAAAATAAACGATATTAACAAATGCCAATAAAATACACAAGGCCAGCTTTACAAGGGCTATGCAAATTAGATTTTCAATTTGCAGCTGTCATATAAATGCAAGGGCCACAATGGACTTACCGCCCCAGTGCTCATCACAGACTGTAAAGAGAGTGGTTTTATTGGCTAAGCCAGGGAGCATGGTGCTGCACTCCATGACGATGGCCTGAGGGATCATTATGATGCAGGAAACGATCCAGATGATGACGATGCTGTTCCGGGCCCGCTTGGCTGTGCTCTTAAACATCAAAGGGTGACAGATCGCATACCACCGATCCAAGGCAATGCAGCTCAGTGTGAGGACAGACACAGACACTGACACGGTCTAGAGAGGGAAAGAAGGTAGTACAAAGGAAGCACCGGGTGTTACAGGGACCACTCTCAGTACTTTTACCCTATCAGAAACATAGGCACACAGATAACCAGATTCAAAGTTGTCAAAAAACATTTCACGCAAGTGCTTTCCATTAAAAAAAGAAAAAACTCTGCCAAAAATAATATTAGAAATGTAGTAGGGAAAATAATACCTTTTTTCCATTAAACATAAAAATGTACTATACAAGACTTGCAATCTTTTTTTATGCTAAATGTTTTAATCTATAATATGGCATTCTTTAAATAATGACAACCATGATTTTGTCTTGAAATTTTTCTATTGATAGGGGAAATCTTATCTTGGAATGAAAAAATAGTAAAATATATATGTTTAGTCTGAAATGGAAAATTCTCTGTCACTTATAGAGAATAATGCAATGACATGTATTTCTTTTAAATTATCATACAAGAATCTGGCTGAAATTGCATTTAATTAGTATTTTTGAATTATAGGTATCTCATTTCCTATTTTTAAATAATCAAGGTTATTTGTACATTAGTTCATTTCCAACATGTTACACCCAAAGAAAGGCATGAGTCACAATAAAATATAATTCTCTATATGAATCTCCTTATTATAGTTTGCTCATTGTTAGAATAAGCAACCTGCCTCTAAAATTCAAATAGGTTCACCCAATCCAGATTTCTACATAATAGCACCACAAACAATACTTTAACTTGGAACTTTAAGAAAATAGTAAAGAAACATGTCAAGCATGCTTATCCCCACATGATCAGTTTATGTAATTATATTTAGTGTATTCTATACTGGATGATTGGACCACTGGTTCTGACAAAATCAATTATCTCAAAACTCTCTCTTTAAAAACAAGTCTCTTGCTCTTTTCTGATATTTCTTTTACAGATTTCTATTTATTTTCTTCTCAACAATTATAGTACAATTATTTTGTTTAATTCATTAATTTACTGTTTATCTTCTCTATTGTAACAAAGACCAATGGCATGAGGGACTGTTGTGTTCACCAAACAGTACCTGACGCAGTGCTTGACGTGCTTAATAGATATTTTTTTGAATTAAGGAATAGTCATAAGCCTCAATCTAAGGTAATATACATGGCACAGTCATCTTTCTATATTTTTCTGTCCTAGTTGTACTGATCCCATAAAATGTGAATGAGCAGGTCTCTCTGCTTCTTACATCAGGACCTTCCTTGTGGATGCGCTGACTGTAGGTGCAGATGAGTGAAAGGGATCTAAGGGCTGATCCAGCACAGCAGGAAAGGCTCTGGGTTAAGCATTAGGACCACATATCCATTCTCATCTCCTCCCAGCTAGCTGCACAGTATGGGTCCCTTACGTAAGAGCTGTAGGTAAAATGTGGATGGATTATTGTTTTTTCATTTGTTTTTCTATTAAATGAGTAAAATGATAGGATGAGATGCTTGCCAACTCTGATTCTTTTGATTCTCTTTGGAAAAGTCAGCAGAGTGTGGTTGGAGTCAATTCCACTACCAGGTTTCCTGGGTATGTACCCCACTGCACTTGCCAAATGCATGATCTTGGGTAAGTTACTTAACCTCTCTATGCCTCAGTTTTCTCATCTGTGTGAGAATGCATGATAATCGTAGCTGTCCATGGAATTGTAGGAACTGTCAGTTGAGATGTGAAACAGCTAGTCCGGGCTGGTATATAAATACTGTGTGTTTGTTATTCCTTATTATGATTATGACATGATGATGGTCATTATACTATTAGTATTCTCTTCTATTCCTGAGCTTGGAGTTCTAGCTTTTAATAGGAACAGACTGCTTTTCAGTGAAGTGCAGTCATAGAAATTACAAACAAAGGTGTAAACTATGCTAAATTCTTGGAGGTTAATTTCATTTTAGGTGTAATCCTAAAGGGATGAACTCTACCAGAGAAGGCTTGGTTGATGGCATCTGGCAATTCCTTGGTGCTGCCTCAGAGAGCATTCACACCTCTTTCTCAATTGTCCTCTTCTCCAACTTCCATTTCTTCCCTGAGAACGTGTCAATCACCCAGGGTCCTTCCATACCCTTGCCAATCTGGGAATAAGACAGTGGTCGTCTAGCTCTGCACAGTTGCCCTTTCAGAGCTGCTGAGCCAGGGCTGTATTTATGCTCTCTAGCAATTAGAAATGTAAAATGCTCATCAAGACATAGTGTTTTATTTTTCATGAATTCTAATCAACATGGGTGAATGGGATAGAAGTAGTGTGGTTCAAATTCTGAAGTCATTTCTATTAGTTCTATTAGTTCTATTAGTTCTCTCTACTGTTAGATAGTAATAATCAATTCAAAACAGTGCACTTGAGAGTTGGCTGTCCAGTGCCAACAGTAAGCCAAGGTGCAGCGCCTTCTCATGAGAGAACATGCTGGTTTGGTTAATCTAGCAGTAGAATCCATTGCATGGACCATTGACCATCAGTGTTTTAATAGTTACTGTACTACATCTGCTGGTGTATAATATACTCTAGTATACAATTAGCATCCAATTTACATGATTTTCTTGAAGGGGATATATAATTGCACCTTATCATAAGTGATTATAAATGAGAGTTTTGTTGTTGCTTTTCACTTGTAGGAGTGCACTTAAAGGTGCCTTTTTCATTGAGATTTTGATATTAGCTCAAGTCAACTTGATAATAAATCATTTGAGAAATGAATGTAGTGTGAATCATGAACATTGTGAGTGAAGTGAGATGATGTGAACTTTCTTTTGCTGTCGGTGCCTTATCTTGCACCCATCCTATGAGTACCCTGTGTTCAGGGCAATGTGGGAAGCTTTCTTTGGTAGAGGACTCAGTTTCACACTAGCATATAAATGTGACAAAAGGGACTCAGAGATCCATGACAAGTAGAAATGGAAATTTTGCCAAATCACAAGGTTGGATGACAGGCATTAATGGATTGGAAGGTGGAGAAGTGTGACTGAGAGTGAGGGAGCCTGTCCCATTACCCAACACCAAAAACTCAGTTGGCTTTGGTTCTACTTTTCCTGGCATTTCCTGTGCAGAATCTCTTCTGCAGTTACAAAAAAAAGTCATTCTGAAAAATCAGTCAACTGCTCCTGTATGTGTGAGAAGAAAAGTGAAATATTTTATATTTTTTCTAGAAATTCATGATAATTATTCAGCAAATAGCCCAATAAATGTTACTGGTAGTGGACCTATGGAGTGATTAAAGATATAAAAGGGACATTTTAATTATTTAGCTAAGTTTTATTATATTTGTAATATTTTTAAGATTGATGAGAGTTTGCTGAAGTCTTACAGCATACCACTCATAAATCTAAAGGTTGCATTGAATTGTATTTAGAAGAAAAATAACATATAAATAATAGGAAATTAGTAAATGTCCAAAGAATCTTAAATGCAACCAAATAACCTTAAAATTTAGCTGGGTGTTTTGTATATGTTTTTAAATACTCAGTAGGACATAAGTATCATATGAGGGACCATTGGTTTCAGAACGTCACCATTAAGGGAAAAAAATAACTACTCAAATGATTGGCTTATTGTACATTGGCCCTATTCCTTCTACTTGGGAAAATTGTATGGAAAACGGACAATAAATATTGAGAGAATTTGGAGATGTGAGTTATACCAGTGCCTCAATATTTTTGTGCATTTACAACTTTCCATCAAGAAGTAATGTTGAATGAGGTAATGAATGGGTCAGATCTTGTGGTTATCAATAGTTTTGTCCTTGATCTTTGGCGAAGAGGATCAACTGTTGATCCTCTGTTGTTTAGTCAAGTTGACTAAACTGGACACTTTATAGAGAATCAGATAGAAGCTATCAAGAGATGAAGATGTTCTTTCAACTTTAAGACTTGTTAAGTTGTGCTGCTGGAAAGAATACTGTCATAATGAACATTAGGAGACACCCGTGCCCTGCATCATTCATGGTTGCACATTGCTTTCAAGCTGTCCTTGCATCCACATAAGAGAATCTGGAATACCTAGTCTATAAGAAGTTATTGCTGTGTATTAGAGCAGGGCTGCACCTATTACAGGGTGATGCATCCCTCTCCATCACCCCACTCTCCATCAGGGAAACTTCTGGTTTGCAGAGAGAACAACTCAGCCAACAAAAGATTCTGGGCAACTTAAGCCATCTTAAAACTTAAGAAGATCCCCCAAATTTCCCCCTGGGTGGTTACTGGAACCAAGAAAAATTTAAAAAACTTTCTGGAAGCACTACAGAAATGGTGACATATTAGAATTCTCTGCTATTTATGATTTTCCCAGTGTCTCCACGTAATCATAAGACCCATTGCTTAGTGATGTTTTTCTATGGTGATATTTTTCTCTGTTGCTCAAAGTACTCTTTCTCTCAAAAAATTTTGCTATAGTTTATTTTTGTAAACCACTCATGATTTTCAGACGACTGACAAAACTAGCATTGCAGTTAAACTTAATGCTTGCAATGAGGCTTATAACTTTCATGGCATTTCCCACTTAGTAGTCAGTGAGTTCTGACCTAAAAATGTATTATTTCTCTTTATAATGAGTCATTGAAGAACTATTGTGGTAAAGGTCTCTGTAACATTTCAGATCCAAAAGCCTAATTTATATAATTTCTAATAATGAGCTATTTGTGGTCTCTCTCAACTTTTGTTTTTCCCAAGACTTCAGTTTTGGAGTACTTTTAAGACCACAGCAAAACTGAGGAGAAGGTACAAAGATTTCCCTATACCCCCTGTTCCCACATAGCCTCCTGCATGATCAACATCCCCCACCATAGTGGTACATTTGATATAATTGGTGAACTTACATTGGCACACCATAATCAGTACACTCTTGATGTTGTACATTTGGACAAATGTATAAGGACATGTATCCAACATTATAATATCCTACGTTATACTGCCTTAAAAATCCTCTGTGCTCTGCCTGTTCATCCCTTCCAACCCCTGACAACCACTCATATTTTTTGCTATCTCCATAGTTTTGTCTTTTTTCCTAATGTCATATTATTGGAATTATGCAGTACATAGCCTTCTCAGATTGGCTTCTTTCACTAAGTAATAAGTACTTAATGTTCCTCCATGTCTTTTTATTGCTTGATAACTCATTTCTTTTAATCACTGAATAATATTCTATTACCAGGTTGTACCCCAGTTTATTTACCCATTCATCTACTGAAGGACATCTTGGTTACTTCCAAGTTTTAGTAATGATAGATAAAGCTGCTGTAAACATTTGCATGCAAGTTGTTGTGTGGATGTAAATTTTCAGGAATGCAATTGTTGGATCATATGTTGGGACTATGTTTAAATTTGTAAAAAAAAAAATCAGTCTTCCAAAGTGGCTGTAACATTTTGCAGCATTCCTACTAGCAATGAATGAGTGTTCCTCTTTCTCCACATCCTTGTCAGCTTTTGGTATTATCAGTGTTCCATAGTTTGGCCATTCTAATAGGTGTGCAGTGATATCTCATTATTTTAATTTGCATTTCGCTTATGATATGTGATAAGGGACATCTTTTCATATGTTTCTTTGCTACTTGTATATCTTCTTTGGTGAGGTGTCTGTTAAGGTCTTTGGCCCATATTTTAATTGGGTTGTTTGCTTCCATACTGTTGAGTTTTAACAACTCTCTGTATATTTTAGATAAAAGTTCCTTATCATCATGTATTTTGCAAATATTTTCTCCCAGTCTGTGCCTTGTCTTCATATTCTCTTTACATTGACTTTTGCAGAGCAGCAGTTTTTAATTTTAATGAATTCAGCTTATCAGTGATTTATTTCAATCATCAGGCATTTGGTTATATATTAAAAAGTCATCAAAACACCAAAGGTCATCTAGGTTTTCTTCTATGGTATCTTTGGGGAGTTTCATAGTTTTGCATTTTACATTTAGGTCTATGATCCATTTTGAGTCCATTTTCTGAAGACCGTAAGGTCTGTATCTAGATTCAATTGTTCTAACTGCCCCAACTTGTCATTATTGGGAGCATATTGTCATTTCCTCCAAATATTATGAAACCAACTGGGAGCCTGGATGGAATAAATATCGGGGGATGGAGGGTGGTCAAGGGAACCAGTAGGGAGTGGTCACCATTTCACTCACTGTCCAATTGCTAAAGAAAATCCATGTCTTTTAGAACTGTGGCTCTGGACACCAGCTTGGGAAAATTTTTAAAGATTTTACAGCTATCAGAATATCAATCAGAAAATTATTTTCTGGAAGTGTTTGTTCTTAATTTCTTGTAGAGAAACTAGTTATAGAAAAGCTGTTTTCAGAACTGAATAATAAAACATCTAATTCTGATGACCATGACTGATGTTTACTGAGAACATATTATGTTTTTATAAGATCATCGTCTTCCAGAGAGTAATCCCTATGCCAAGTGGTTCATATAAATTATCTAAGTAAACTAATCCAACCACCATAGGAGATAGCTATAATTAAAATTATTAATCTTTTAAAATAAGTGAATCTCAAAGAGCTTACATATTTGGCTCAATAGCATACAATAGGTGAATGGCAGAATAGAGATTCCAAAGATTCTCTACCAGATTCCTGGTAGTTTAATTCAAAACTTGCACTAAAACCTGTTCCCTGTCCTGCTTTGATCATATAGCTTTTGATTTCTCAGTAGTAAATGAGACAACTTATAAAAACAGGTAGTCTTCAATTAATTGGACTGGGAAAGGCTGAATCATTAATTTGGTCAAGTTCCTTATTTTATAATCAGAAAATTAGATACCAAAAAGGTAAAAGGTTTGTGCAGCATTTATTGATGACTTGAGAATTCTGACATTTTATTTTTACCCAGAACTTACCTTGTTTACCTAGTATTACTTTCCTTAAGTTTACCAGTTCCTTAAGCAAGAATATTTCTCTCTTAGCTCACTAGGTAATTTACCAAAAGGCCATGACTATAATTGAAAATGACTATACTTTTTCAGTAGTTTCTGTGTTTGAACCCCAAAAGTGTGAAACATAATTACCTGTAAGTAAGGAATCACTTTACAGAGGGATTGTCCAAAGAACCAGGTCTCAGTGATGTCCACTACTAAAGTGGCTGGAAGGCAGGTGATGGTCACAAGCACATCAGCCAGAGAAAGGTTGACAATGAAGTAATTGGTCACTGTCCTCATGTGGTGGTTCTTCCACACGGCCACACAAACTAATTTGGAAAGAAAAAGGAATAGTAACTGTTATGGACTGAATGTCTGTGCTCCCCAGAAATTCATATGTTAAGATCCTGACAGTGCCCCCCACCCAAAGAAGATGTGGTACATAGATACAAATGGAATATTACTCAGCCATAAAAAATACTGAAATAATGCCATTTCCAACAACATGGATGCAACTACAGATTATCATATTAAGTGAAGTAAGTCAGAAAGAGAAAGACAAATACCAAATGATATCAGTTATATGTGGAATCTAAAATATGACACAAATGAACCTATCTACAAAACATAAACAGGCTCATAGACATAGAGAACAGACTTGTGCTTGCCAAAGGGGATGATATGGGAAGGAATGGACTGGGAGTTTGGGGTTATCAGATGCAAAGTATTATATATAGAATGGATAAACAACAAGATCCTACTGTATAGCACAGGGAGCTATATTCATTATCCTGTAATAAACCATAATGGAAAAGAATATAAAAAGAGAATGTATATATATGTATAACTTAATCACTTTGTTGTATTGCAGTAATTAACACAACATTGTAAATCAATTATACATCAATAAAATAGAAAGATCCTCACCCCCAGTGTGATGGTATTAGGAGGTGAGTCTTTGGTAAATGATTTGGTCATGAGGGTGGAGCCCTCGTGAAGGGCATTAGGTCCTTATAAAAGGAACTCCAGAGAGATCTTTTGCCCCTTCCACCATGTGAGGATACAGCAAAAAAGCTGCTGTTTATGAACCAGGAAATGGACTCTGACCACTGAATCTGCCACAGTCATGATCTTGGACTTCTCAGGCTCCAGAACTGTGAGAAAAAAACTTCTGTTTTTTATTAACCACTCAGTTCATGGTACTCAGTTACAGCAGGCTGGACAGACTAAGACAGTGACTAAACAAAGAAAATAACTATTGAGGGAACACTGTCAAGCTAATTGGTACCCCTGCAAATCCACAAATAAATATTGCCAAGGGAGATAATTTAAGGCTGTCCTGTGTTTTCAGCAAAATGGTCAATATGTGTGAATGCTGAATATATGCTTAAAATCAGTTCATTTACTTTTCAAGACATTTTTCAATGGATCATAAGGCTGTGTTTATTTTTACTCGATTTTGAATTTCATTTTCCAGGAGTTAAAGAACAATCTTTGATTTATCGTTCTACTCCTTCGGTGGTCAGCAAATACTCAAGAAATATTTACTGAGTTGAGATGAATTAGGAGTTCACTAGTTTTCAATGAACTGCAATGTTTGCCTCATCCATGACATTGACCCCTACCTGCTCCCAAACTCTGCCTTTGGGACTTTTAAGAGATGAAGAGGCTTAAAGACAAAGTCAACCAAAAAAGTCCTTACTATTGCTGTATACTGAAGTGGATGGTTCATATCCTTAGGTCGTTTAACCTCAATGACAATCCCAAGGAAATGTATCATTACCAATGTTTTATATATTATGACGTCAGTGAGACACAGGAACTTGTTGAGGACAAATGGCTCATAAAACAGAGAACCACAGTTATAACTGGGCTTATACACCAAGTGAAGAGCTGGTCTTTCCACCACACTGGCTACCTTCTTTTGTGAAAATGAAGGAGTTATATAAAAAAGCACATATAAATTCTAGAAACTCAATCTCTCTCCTTTCTATTACTCTCGATGGCCTCTAAACATCAGCTCAGATGAAACACACTTTCTCAGCCAAGCCTTCCTCCTTTTCCTTCAGTGTATCCCCCTGTGTAAAAGTTGTGCTATCTCATTCAGCTTCTATTTATGGAAAGAACACATAGTTCTTTGATTCTCTGTCCGCCCTCTGAGATATCCAAAGGTTACATAATCACTGGTTCCAGAATTATATAGATGTAAGCACTGCTACCCACATCTACTGATGGGTTTGCTTCACTGAAAGGAACTGTGAATTTACCTGGGGTATCATTACCCTGTCAGAGCTGTCGCTTATACACCCAAATGATGCAGTGATTAGTAACCTTATGCAGTGAAGAAATAAAAGCACATTTTAAAAATTTAAGTCACTGAGTGAGGATTCCTTTTTGACAATTATGCGCCAGTTTATTATGACTTTCAGATGCTGAAAAATGCTTTTACTAGCTCCTGAAGCTGGAATTACCCTCAATCACCAACAGATGCCAATTTAATGAAATACCTGAATTTCTGAGGATTTAATTGTGAAAACTTCACATATTCCTTTAGCTCCAGCACACAAGTACCAAAAGCTCAAGTGAGCTTTATTAGGGTAAATCATAGTCTTTATTATCTGAAAATGCTGCTGTTGAATCATTTATTTCTCAGAAACGCTTGAAACACTCACACACACACACACACACACAAACACACACACACAAACCCATCTTAGCAGTCGACTAACACATTATTACAGCTTGTTAAGAGAAAATTGACAAAAAATATCACACTTCTGATCCTTGGTCAATAAGTGGTCCAAATGGTGCAATTTGGGATCTAGAAAAGAAAACAAGACTTAAAAAATGCAATCCATTCTAGTTTGACTCCCAATTCTCCCTATTTTGGAGGTGAGGAACGGCAATGATGGGAGGACAGTGTTAATGCATGATGTCTAAGCAATGTGAGAACAAGTAGATTCTCAACCAACACTTCTATAGTATTTACTCTGTGCCATATCCTGTGCTAAGCAATTTGAATTATTAATCTTCATAATAACACTATGAAATGATTATTGTTAATATCCCTGTCTAACATGTGGAAAACTGAGGCTCGGGAGGTTATGGAACCTACCTAAGGATGAATAGCTAGTAAATGCCGAGCTTAGATTTAATCTTATAAACTCTGCATGCCATTCTATTATATACCAGCATCTATCATTGAAGCAGAAGGTGGAAGGCAGCTGCCAGGCTTTTTTTGGCAGGACTTTAACATACATTCATAAAATTCTGGAATTGGAGTTCAGTCTAACTTGATGCATAAATCAACTCTGCAGTATTCCTGATTCATTCTACTTGCATATTTTTAATAGTCGGGAGTTTATGACTTGCTTAAGTCCTTGACTACATTTTGTGTTGACTTTACCTACCAGCAAGTTCTTGTTCATGTTGAGTTGATATCTGTTTCCCTTTCAGTTCCATTCATGGGTTCTTTATTCTTTCCTGGAACCCAAGGAATAAACCTTATCTACTTTTTTCTGCATTGTACCTGTATTAGTTTCCCAGGGCTGCTTTAACAGAGTATGATAGGTTGGGTGTTTTAAAGCAACATAAACTTATTGTCCCACAGTTTTGGAGACCAGAAGTCCAAAATCAACGTGTCAGGAGGGCTAAGCTGCCTCTGAAAGCTGTAGAGAAATTCTTCCTTGCCTCTCTCGCAGTTTCTGGTGGTTTGCTGGCTACCGTGGCCTTCCCTAGGGTGCAGCTCTGTAACTCCAGTCTCTCTCTCTATCATAACATGGAGTTCTCCTGCCTCTCTGTATTCACATGGCATCTTCTTATAAGGACACCAGTCATATTAGATTAGTGGCCCACTCTACTCCAGTATGACTCATTTTAACTCAACTAATCATATCTGCAATGACCTTATTTCCAAATAAGGTCACATTCTGATATTCAGGGGATTAGCACTTTCACATATTTTTGGGGAGACACAATTCAATTCATAATAGTCTGTCCTGTGACCCCTAAAAATTTGTGTTCTTCTCACATGCAAAATACAATTCACTCCATCTCAACGGTCCCCAAATTCTTAACCCATTTCAGCATCAACTCTAAATCCCAAATCTCACCTACATATTATCTAAGTCAAGAATGGGTGAGATTTGGGGTATGGGCCTTCCCAGGGCAAAACTCCTCTCCATCTATGAACCAGCGAAACCTAGAAGACAAGTTACCTACTTCCAAAATGTCATCTTGGGATAAGGATAGGTTGATATCCCCATTCTAAAATGTAGAAATTGGAAGAAAAAGCGGGTCACCAGTCTAAAGCAAGTTTTCAAGTCAGCAGGGCAAATTTCACTAAATTTTAAGGCTTAAGAATAATTCTCTGTGGCTTGATGCTCTGTTCTTCTAGCTCAGCCTATAACAGTAGCCATTCAGATACTTAAAGTCCACAGCTATTCCCCAAGCCTCTGCTTACCGAGGCTAAATATCTCCAGAACCCTCATGTGCAATGCAGGGTTTCGCATCTCACATCACCCTGATCCCTTTATTCTGAGCACACTCCAGATAATCATTGATGGCTCTAAATGAGCTATCTGCAACTGCACACATGTTTCCAGCTGTGGTCTAACCAGGACAGAAAAGAACAGGGTGACTGCTTTCGTTAATATTTCTCTATTAAGACAGCCTGAGATCTTGTTAGATTTCTTAATAGCCAAGTCACACTTTTTTTGGATCATATATGTATACAATTGCTAGAAATTGGTTCCCTCATGTAGATGTTTCTTTACCTCTAAATCTTAGGGAGAAAAAAGAGAGGGAAAAATTAATATTCTAAAAAACATTATTGGGATAATTGGAGAAGTTTGAATTTGGACTTTATGTTAAATAATATTACTGTGCCAATTACAATATCTTAAGTATGGTGTTTACATTATGTACATTCAAAATACTAAAGATTATGACTATGCCTGTTCCCCAAGACTTTGTTTCTCTGGGTTAAACATTGGCAGACCCTTCCTACATAATAGCAGGATTACTTCTCTCATGACCCTGGTCTCTTTATTGTGAAAATGCTGCAGATTACCAGCAGATATCTCTGAGCTGGCTATCCAGAACTGAGCACACATCTTCAGGTGCATATCTCCTCAGTTTGGATTGAATAAATATCCATTAGTTTATTCATTTTCCCATTCAAAATATTAAAGATATAAGGGAAACAACCTTCTCCTGGTAGCACATCAAATTTATGCAGTTAAATTCATCATCTTTTCTTATATACTCTTCCTGGACCTTATATCTCCCTGAAATATAACATTCTTCCTTTTTCTCCCCGATACCTTATGTTTAAAATCCCTTAGATATCTCTTACCTCTATAATTGTCTTTCTATTCCTTTTGCAAATACCTGGTCAGATTGTGGTAATAATTAGCTAGGATGTCACAATTACCTCCTAATAGTTTGTCCTGCACCCTGCCTCTCTTTACTCCTATCCATTTTATCCAGTGATACCATTCACTCCAGTTATATTAACTCTTTCATTTCAATAGGAGTCTCTCCTTTTCTTTGGAATTAAGTACAAAATCCTCAGGTGGCAACCCAGTTCTCATTGAACTTTCCCTCTATGTCTTGCAATGCTTCCCATAAAATACTCAGAGCTTCAGGATAAGTTTGATATCTCACTTTATAGCAAACATTCCACACTAGGTGATTGCTAATGCCATTCCTCCTTTTGGAAATGGCCACACTCCATTTCAATCCTCTTTTCAACTAATTAAATCCTACCCCCCAAAAAACAAACAAACAAACACAAAAGCAAAAAAACAAAAGCAATCAAACAAAAAAATTGGTTTCATGAAATTTCTCTTAATTAGCCGAACTCAATATGTCTTCTTTCTTTTTTAAAACCGTATTACACCATAAAAAAGAATGAAATAATGCCATTTGAAGCAACATAGATGGACCTAGAGGTTATTATACTATGTGAAGTAAGTCAGACAAAGACAAATATCATATTATATCACTTATATATGGAGTCTAATACAAAATGATATAAATGAACTTATTTTTAAAAACAGAAACAGATTCACAGACTTAGAGAATGAACTAATGTTTACCAGCAGGGAAGGGTGACAGGGAGGGATAGATTGGGAGTTTGGGATTAACACATACACACTACTATATATAATATAGTTAACAAGACCTACTGTATAGCACAGGGAACTCTACTCAATATTCTGTAATAACCTATACACACACACACACACACACATATATATATAACTGATTCACTTTGCTGTACACCTGAAACTAACACATTTTAAATCAACTATACTCCAATAAAAATTTTTTTTAAAAGGAAAAAAATTTTAAACAAAGAAATAAAAACATATTACATGTTGTACATTTCCTCATCATGAATCACATTCTAAAATTATTATGAACTATTATGGGTATTTGTATTTTTTTTCTTATTTTTCTACTGGTTCAAAGGCTCTTTTTCATTTTGAGATGGGCTTTTCCTTTCTCTTACTCTTCTTGGTTTCGAAAGCTTTTCTTCCAACACAAACACTGCCTAAAACTTACTTTGCAATAAAAAATATTCATAACATTGATTTGTTCATCCACTTGTAGCATGTTGGTGCCTTTGGTATTGTACATTTACCCATGAGGTTCTTTAAAAGAAGAGAAAAAACCCAGTGGCTGAATGGAGCTTTTATTTTCCTCATTCCTTTTAAGGCCTGACATTTGACAGAGAACTTGGCTGCCTGCCAGTTATTTTCTTGGCTCTCAATTCCCCATATACTGTCTTCTGATGAGCCTTGGCAGGATGTGAGACATGAACTTGGTACTATTTTTGAAATCGGTTCTCTGAATGATCATGATCCACCAATGTTAAAGTTAGTTTGTGGTTAGTCTGCACTTACAAGTCTGCCTGCATTAATCAGGAACAAGTGAGGAATGGTTGTGCACATGGGGGTGAAAGGTGATGCCAGAAGGCAGGGATGCAGATTGAATGAAAATCCACCTTGAACACAGATTTTTTGAAAAAAAGACTTTTGAGATACAGAGGTGCCAAGATAAAAGTCCATTTTAGTCCTTCCTCTTTCACCCCTCATTTGGTTCATCATCTCTTCATCTGTAAGAATCCAAAGATGTATAGCTCCCATCTTTGCTCTGCAGGACCAACAGACGGAACCTGACTCTAGCTGTATGACAGCATCTGTAGTCTGTGATGTAGAGAGGGATTTAAAACATAATATAGAGATACAGTCTTTAAAAGTAACCTGTTATTGGGTGTGCCAAAGATTAAACTGGCTTTCAAATAGGAAAATAAAATATTGGTACAATAAAACCCTTTGCAACTTCAATCTGCACTTATGATAAACTGATTTTTCTTTTAGTATCTAACACACTGCATATGGACAAAGTGAATTTCTCTCTCAAATCAATCCTTGCACTTAGAAAAATTTAAACTAAGGTGATATCCTGTTAAAATGTTGATGAGATTGCATCTTTTATTAAACATACTCTTAGGTCTTAAAATGTCAACTAATAATTGATATTATAATATCAAGAGGAGTCTGTGCATGGTATATAATTAGCATGTTACTGAGCATCTCGAAAGATCTGTACTATATATATCAAATTATTTAAGCATTTTCACATTTATTTAATTTTTCAACATTAAAACAAGATATAGGTGTTAAGTGACATAAGCCAGATACAAAAGGACAATGATTATATAATTCCATTTATATGAAGTACTTAGAGTAGCCAAATCCTTTAAGACAGAAAGAAGAATGTGGTTGCCAGGTCTGGGGGGAGGGGAGAATGGGCTATAATTGCTTAAGAGGAAAGAATTTTAGTTTCGCAAGATGAAAAATGTTACAAAGATATATAGCGCTGATGGTTGTACAACAATGTGAATGTACTTACTGCCAATGAATTGTCAACTTAAGAATGGCTAAAGTGGTAAATTTTAAATTGTGTATACTTTATCACAATTTAAAAAACCACTTTCCATGGAAAAAGGAGCTATAAAATGGGAAGCAAAATTTTTGACAATAATGTTCCTCAAAATTCCTAAATATAGAATGAAAATTCCAGGGGACAATCTTAATTGCTCATTTTATGGTTTTTTAAAAACTCATGAACAGCTAAAATAATGAAAGAAAACACAATTATTCAAATATACCTCAGTTCTAATGGCAGTATTAAAGACAGACAACACATGATTTTTTAATATATAATTTAAATTATTTCTTTGTGAAATCAAAGTTTTGTTTGTAGTAGGTTGTGATATTGTAATTTAGATAGTGTCTTAAATGATTATGCAATGTCCTGATTGTTCTTTATTTAATGTACATATGTATGTATACAGATATGCAAGATGATAATTTCTTGATTGTTATTTGTTATATTACCCATATAAAACATGTCAGAAAACAACTTTAAAAAATACTGTAGGGCTTCCCTGGTGGTGCAGTGGTTGAGAGTCCGCCTGCCAATGCAAGGGATACGGGTTCGTGCCCCGGTCCGGGAAGATCCCACATACCGCAGAGCGGCTGGGCCCGTGAGCCACGGCCGCTGAGACTGCGCGTCCGGAGCCTGTGCTCCGAAATGCGAGAGGCCACAACAGGGAGAGGCCCGCGTACCGGAAAAAGAAAAAAAAAAAATTGCTGTAGTTCCACCTTTTGCCACAAAGTGTCAGTGAAAGACTTTGAAAGTGCTTACCCTGTCACTTAAGAGGTGAGTTTTAAACATTAAATGAATTGCAATATTCTTTATAACGTATAAGTAAATACACTTGTTTCAAGTGGGATATTCTAGACCATATTCTAGACCAAAGAGAATCCTTAAGAAAGGACAAATTTGACTAACATCTTTTAAATTATATACAAATGAATGAGTCAAGGTGAAATACAATTATTTTTCTAAATTAAAAACAGCAAAAAAGCCATTGAATACACATAGAAGGTAGCCTCTTAACTCTTGTTAACTCTTGTGAGGAATCTATCTTGAAAGCAGGAAGGGATTCATCCAGAATCATTACAGTGTGTAGATTTAACACATAGGAAAGTTGACTATTGGTGTGGTCTTCCAAGGGTAAAACAAACTCTCCATGAAATCCCCAGGTATTTTCCTTTTTCTCATCTTCATTGCACCTCACCTCTTTGGCCCCCCTTATTGTTACTTATGCTTCCTTCTTTTCCTGGGAAAATATATCAATAATTCCTGACTCAGTAACCCATCTCCACCCACACATCTTGGCAAGGTTGTCTACAAATCTCTCTGTCTGTGCTCAGAAGAGCAGCAGGCAAAGATGCCACTACTTTTCATGCAAATCTGACAGATGGGACACTGTCAAGAAACACTTCAGTGCTGTGACATGATCCCCCCCCAAAAGGTTATCTAATATTAAGAGAAAGAAAACTTTAGAAAAAGTTATTATAGAAGCACAGACAACAATATTCTGAATGCATTTCAGTTTTTGTTTCCTTAAGAAAATATAAAAGTCTACAGT